TTTGGAAGGGAAGGGAAGTGTGAGGTGGGGAGGAGGTACCCATCTGCAGCCTGTCTTCAAATTGAACACCAATAGGCATTTGGAATGCTTGTTTCCATTTTTAGATGTCGCTGATGGTTTTTTAAGACCCTTTACTGATACAGTTAGTAGTCTATCTGGATGTTCAATTGTGATTTTCTTCATTAAATTCTCAACTGTTTATAATGATATTTCCTTATCCAGTATGAATTGCAATCACTCTTGAAAGTTAAAAGATTTGCAGTAAGAGATTCCCTTGTGTATCTAAACAATAAAAGTGTTTTCTGACCTGGATTAAAAAATAAGTCCTGTATATTGGAATGAAACATTTTATTTTTCCCCCTGAATGAATGGAGATGTAACAGTACCAATCTTCATTTTTTCTTGCTTTGATTCTGAAGCTTTTGGAATTTCCTCCCGCAGTATTAATTGACTTTAATATTAAGCAAGTTGTGATTTTTCAACATGCAACCTTTTCTTTTCTTTTTAGAGGGGTCCATTAAGTTATAATTTAAAGCCTGAAACGTTTTCTTTATTAAGATTTGTGTACAGTGGACCTCAATGTAATTTTTCCATGTATTTGCTCTCTTTTTAAGGTGATTCTGGACAGGTCACTAAGAAGCATTCAAAAGATTCAACAAACGTGGATGCCGAAGAGGATATAGATTGGTTAAGAATTTCTGAGATGCAAAAGAGGTATTACATTTGTCTGTAGATGCACAGCTGTTGCTGTTTTATTTTGAGCAATTAGGTGAATTCATACAAATACCTCTGAATTATTGATTGTTTAGATGAAGATCTCTCTCTCTCCCCTTTTGTTTTTGTTTGGATTGACACCCTTTTTACTATGTTAGTTATTAACAGACCCTCCTTTTTTTCTACTTGGATTGACACTTCTTTGTTTTTTTTTTCTTTTGATTTTAATACATAAACTATGATTGGGGGCCCTTTTATAAATTTACCACCGGATGAAAGGTTTTATTGTTGCGAGTTCATTTGTATGAATTTTAAACCACACCACCTCAGGATTTTACTGTTTTAAGGCTTTAAAATTTTAAATTGAAAAACTAAAAACTCAAATTTTTGAGTTTGATTGGAGTTTAATAATGGATTTTGATATCAAAATGTTGCGAGAGAGATTGAAGGGATTATTTAGTGGTCTTTTGGGTTGATTTAGTTGTCATAAAGGTAGAGTTCCGATGGTGATGGTGACAAAAGGAGTGCTAATCCAAACACATCATAGTTCACGTATTAAAATCAAAATTAAAAGAATATAGAGGGTGTCAATCCAAACAAAAAAGAATAAGGAACTTATTAATAGTTTAAAACAGTAAAGAGGTGTCAATAAAAAAAGAAGAAGAGAAGAGGTCTCCATCCAAATGACCGATGATTCAAAGGCTGTTTGTACAGATTTGCTGAGCAGTTAATAGAGCATACAGATTTAAAATTTAAATGCTTCTTCCTCCTTTCCATATTGGAAAACTAGCATTCACACTCGGGATATGTTTCAGCTAGAATTGGGATGCGAAAAACTGCTGTGGATATGAACACATGAATTAAGTATTAACTTTAAATGCATGTATCTTGAAGAATAGCTCCTTTCCGAAACAATTGATAGATAAATGGCAGAGAAAGACACCGATGACAACAGGTGCTCCTGCTATGACAGGAAAATTGCAGGCTTTTAATCAGGTTTGGCTCTACAGCTGATTGATGCCATTATGCTGTCCAGGGTATGGTGAAACTCACTGGATTTTACTTTTGCAATCACAGAATATCATTGAACAAGTTGCTGCTTGCATGAGGGATCCAACTAAAATGGTCAGGCAAGTGCAACAAAGAAGATCAACCATTGGTGTTTTTGGAGCTGTAAGATAATTGGCAAATTTACTTAGTTTAGTCTAAGAAATGATGCAAAATTCATGGTATGATGAGCTCAGATTTTTTTTCCTTCTGCTGTTACTGACTACCTGAATTTTACTAATGGGCAGGTTCCCGAGTTGATGAGCAATGCCAGGGGAGAGGTAATCCTGTGAATGAGTAATTTGTATATCATTTTCCCATATTAGTTCAAACTTGGTAAGTTTAGGTATTCCACATTTGCACCTAGTAATGTGGCTAAGAACCAAGCTAGAATCGAGATATGGAGTGAGAACAGCTAAGCAAAAGGCCTAAGCAGACACTCAATTGAAGTCAGGTTACATCTCATCAGCTAACGTGTTAAAGTGTTCTGATAGAATCCTAATGTTGATTGCCTGATTCGACGGACATGATGTTTCCCTGGAGGCCTTTTCTCTTTCCTCTTATTTTTCCTGGGAAATTCTCTGTTCTTTTTTCTTTCTTTTCATTATAACAAAAAATTTTAATGGATGTTTCCAACCTAACAGTTTTGCTGAATCTTTCAATTCTAATTAGGAAACATGTCCCGATGGTGATCCTGAACACTTCTAAATGACACCGAATTTTATCAGCAGTTATTGAAAGAATTTCTGGAGAATGTAGACCCCTCATCCACCGGTGAGTATTCTATCTCATCCTATTGGACCTGCAGCCCCAAGGATCCATAAAGCTGTAATTGGTGGCTGTTTTTCACTCTCACAGTCTTCATTTCCAAGATAGAGGATCAGATGGTTTCCTCAATTACCAGCCCTACAGTTATTTAATGTTTTGAATTTATAGTTTTGAAACCCAGCCTAGCGGGTCGACCCTGGACCTGACTGACCCGGGGTTGGAACCGGCCGGGTTTATGAAAAAATATGGGTAGTTTAAAACCTGGATGACCCGGCTGGTTTTTTTTTTTTTTTTTTTTTTTTTTTTTTTTTTTTAACAAAATGACCTTCTGATTTATAAATAAAATTCAGGACGACCTGGGTGACCCGGTCAAAACCCGTTACCCGGGCCGGGTTTAAAAACACTGCTTTAATCTTGCTTATAGATTTGTCTGCAGAGACGACCTTTTATGCTCTAAAAAGATTGCAAACTAAGAGGAGAGATTGTTGATCGGCGTGCTTCAAAGTGTCGAAAGATCAGGTACATGCATGGGAGGGCTCGTTTTCTGTGCTGTCATTTTCATCTCTATTAACCCAGAGCATTTCATTGATTTTTCCTTATCAATCACAATTTTTAGGTACAACGTCCATGAAAAGATTGTCAATTTCATGGCTCCTCGGCCAAATGAACATTCCTCCCATGGCCCCAAAAGTATTTGAGAATTTATTTGGATTGAAGACACAAAAAGCCTGCAGTAGATTCAAAAAGTTATTGTTGGAATGTTTTTTTGTTTTTTTTTTTTGGGGGGGGGGGATTTTGTAATGTCATCCTTCAATAAACACTGGCATTTCTTTCTAGTTTACAATTTATTCCCTGGGATATATCCGCTGTAAGCTTGAACTTGGTGATATCAAATTCCAGATTTGAGCATGCATCTGTCGTGATTTCTTGAGCTCGAGATTAAAGGTCAAATAATTTAAATTAAACAAACGCGGCCTTATCCACTTCTGTTGTCAGTTGAGGACACTCTACACAAGTGATCTTTTTTATCTTCACCAACCACCGAACTCTGTAGAGAGTTGGGTGCATACATGGTCAAAAGAACACCTAATTTCACATAAAAAGTAGACAGAGATAACATAGACAACAGTTTTTGCTCTAAAGAAACCTCTCGTAGACAGTAAAATCAAAGGAAAATGCTTCTCCAAGCAACCATCTCATCATCTCCACCTCTACAACACCATCACCCTCACCCTCACACTCTCCTCCCATTTGGGTCTCTCCAGTTCAGGCCACACAGGCTCTCTCTTCAGGTACACGTTTCCAGTTCCTTTTTCAACCCTCCTGGTCTCTCAAAGTTGAATTTTTTTAACAAGTATTTGACAAGTTTTATTTAAATTCTGGGAAGAATTGGAGTCTCGTGCACAAATGAAGAGGATTGGAGGTTTGTTATGGGAGGGGAGTAGGGCGGGTAGCTTTGTTAGCCACATTTCCACGCTGGATCCGGCTTAGTTGTAGTGTTGAGGTCATCCTAGGGCTTGTTTCTGCATTGCTGAAGGAAGAGAGCGTATGCCTAGTTATTCTTTAGTATTGTGCTAAAGTTATGTTCTGGAGTCCCAGATTCTCATGGTGGTATAGAAGTGGGAACTGAAATCTGTGAGACGTGTGTTGGTTTTCTACCAACATGAAGCTCTCATTATGAAGTATTGCAAGTTTCTTTTTAGGATGAGGTTTCCTTGGAAGATGGCTCTGTGATCGCCATGATTACTAGTCTCCCTAGCATGGCCTAGGGTTGTCGGAGTTAAGCTTGAAGTTGTAGCAGTACAATTGGAGAAAACTGCAACTATGTGCTCAACATGAAGTGCATGGTAAGAGATGAAGAAAAGTGATTTAGAAAGGATGAGCTAGCAGACTTGAGAATTAAAACTTTGATTCCCTCAGAAAATTTTCTTTTATTGCAGGTTTGATTTGTACCTTGTATTCGAACTGTATTGGTATCTAATATTTATTTTTGTACAATAGCTCCTGGGTGGAGATCTCTTTGCAGTTCTCATCTTCCATACATCCTGCCTTCATTTCAGATGTTGCATTCCGTAGGGTAAAGATTGTTACCTAATCATACAAAAGTTGGCTATTGTAACAAAGACACATGTCTGTGTGTGACACCAAAATCATGGTCAACCAGTGCATTTTGTTTAGAAAAATAGATCCATTTAGTTTCTCTCTCACCTTCCCCGGCACTCTCATCTCTTGTTTGATAGTCATAACAGGCATTGGCCATCTGCATTTTGTTTAATACGATCTTATTATCTTGTTGTGTTTTCCCCTTTTAATTTCAGGAGCAAGTAAGAAGTGGTGATGCCACTGCAACTGGGCCTTTTGAACTCGGTGCAGGAATGCTGAGGAGAAAATTTTACCCGGCTGCCACTAAATATTTACTTCAGGCAATTGAGAAATGGGATGGTGATGATCAAGATCTTACCCAGGTATGATTGCCTTGGGGTAATTGCTTCTGATTTGACCTAACACATTCGTGTATTGCCTTAGGAAATGCCAGGCAACATCATTTTTTTGTTTTCACTAATAAAAGAAGGAAAAAGAAAATTTCATATGCTCAGTCATACTCGATGGTCAAGTTCATATATTTAGATTACTGTCTACAAATACATTTACCGAATGGTTTGATGTTGGTTCACTGTATTTTGGAATCACTGCAGTCTGTTCCTGCAATCCTGTCCCTGTGTGCACCGACACACCGAGAAAGTTGCCTGCATGACACACTGAGAAAGTTGTCAGGATCTAGTGTTGGTGTTTACCCCTTGCAGGAGTGGGTAATCAACTTGCAAATTATGAACAAAGACTAGAAATAAGAACTTAATATCTTTTTTTTCTGAGCAATTAAGATAAGGCAGGGAGCACCCTAGTCTGTATTTCAAATCAATATGATAACGCTTCTCGTGCATGATTTTGATGGTAAGTTCCTTTCTGCCTGCCAAATATTTGGATAGGTTTACAATGCCCTTGGCGTTAGTTATGTTCTTGACGGGAAGCTTGACAAGGGAATCAAACAGTTTGAAGCTGCCGTGAAGCTTCAACCAGGTTATGTCACAGCCTGGAACAACCTCGGTGATGCCTCTGAAAAGAAGAAAGACCTGAAGTCAGCTCTCAAGGCATTCAAAGAAGTTTTGCTTTTTGATCCTAACAATAAGGTGGCAAGACCCAGAAGAGATGCCTTGAAGGATAAGGTACAAATGTACAGAGGAGTTCCCATCAAGTCTAAGGATGGATGAATCTACTAGCTACTGTCATAAGATTATCAATTTTTTCTTTCTTTATAAATTGTCATCTTAAGCAATGCTGAACTTTTCTTCCTCTAATAAAATTTTGAACCTTTTCCAAAAATTACATGTCCAGAATCGAACATCCTTTGCTTTTATATCTGGAGGACTGAATGTATAACTTTCAGAAATTGTTATTTTTCTCAAATGAATCCTCTTCTTTTAGACGACAATGAACCCAGGTTCACAATC